AAAAAAAAAAAAAAAAAAAATTCCTTATGACACATCCATGGACTTGTGACTATTGTGGAACAGAGCCTTCGTTTTCCTACAGCGGCAGGTTATTCTTGCAGAAGGAAATGTTCAATTTGGGGGAAAATGTCCAGTAGCATTTGAATCAGCCAGTAGGAAAAGAGCCTTTCTAGTTGGGAGCCTTTGAAGGACTGACCTGATGTGCTTTGATGAAGTTAAGCTTATCACTTAGGGGTGATAAATTTAAACTCTTCTTAGTTGCTCTGGACTTTAAACAGGTGAGGTAGGAATGGCATTTTAGAAACTGACATGTTTGTAATTTGGAGCTTTTATTCAAACAATTTATTGGGTCAGGAGAATTAAGAATACAGGTATGTAATTTTTGACTTCTAGTTAATGCAGTTTATTTCTTTTCCCCATATTTTTTTTATGTCTTTGTAAAATTTTCTTTATTTCCAGCTCCATAGTGGGAGTAACAGTTTACTAAGCAAGCTCATTCATCAGTCTTATCATGGAACCATGGACACAGTTTCTCTCAGTGGGACTATTCCACTTCAAATGCTTTTGGAAATCGGTTTGGACAAACTGAAAAAAGATTATATCAGTTTTTTCATAGGTAAATCGTTTTCCCAACTTAAAAAAGTAAAAAGCATATCACAGTTATCATTGATAGACATTCCAGGGTCTTGCCTTTCTCTCTGGCCCTGGTCATCCGTGCTCCTGGCTTTGCGGGCCCCCCCCCCCTTCACTGAGACAAGTGTTTCCCTTCTCTGTATCTTACTTTACCACCCAATAGAGATAACTAGATTACATACAGCAGTGGTCTTTGTTTGCTTGCTTTTAGTTCAGACATTTGAGATTTTATGAGTTAGTACGGTATATGAAAAAAAGGCTTTTATGAGGTGCTGTTTTATTTTTCAGGTTTTTGGTTTTTTGAGACAGGTTTGCTATCTATTCTAGGCTGGACTTGAAACTCATTATATAGCCCAGGCTGACCTCAAACTGTTGTTCTTCCTGCTTCAGCCTCCCAAGTGCTGGGATTACAGGCTGAGATTACAGGTGTGCACTGTCACACCCATCTTGAGATGCATTTTAAGTATCCAAGGCTTGGTACTTTTTTTTTGGTATGGGGGATGGAACTTGGGTCCTTGCGCTTGCGCAGCAGGCAGTGAAACCACTGAGCTAAATCCCCGTCCCTTGGTACTTTTTATTAGGGCTAAGCTGTGATCAGTTTTTGGTTTTTTTTGGTACCGGGGATCGAACTCTGGTCCTTGTGCTTTCGAGGTGGGCAGTGGAGCCACTGAGCTAAATCCCCAGCCCTGTGATCAGTTTTATAATAGGTGAGTCCCTTTCCCAACTTAAAAACCATGTTACAGGGGCTGGGGATTTAGCTCAGTGGTTCCAGCGCCAGCCTTGTGAGCACAAGGTCCCAAGTTCGATCCCCGGTACCCAAAAAAATAAAAAAAGCATGTTACAGTACTGTATGTATTTATGGTGTTATATGCCAGAAATATTTGTCTTGTACCATACTCTTAAGTGAAATAAATAGGACACACATGTCTAAATACCGAATAGTTTCTCTGGTGTGAGAAACTGAAAGTGTAAATAAGGATTAAAAGGATTAATAACTAATAATTGATA